TTTTTTTTCTGTTTCACAATTTGTGACTAAAAATTCTGCAGTTAGACTGCTTTTAAACAAACTCTTATAAAAACTCTGTCATTTTCTAGTCTAACATAACCTAAACTAAAAGAGTTTTTCTATTTAATCTGCATAACATCAGAAATTTTTGGTTGCAGAACAACTTTTAAACATCTGCGTTTTCATCTGTTGTTACCACCTATATCAACATCATTCTACTCTTTCAAACTGACGATAATCAAACATTGAAAGTGTAGTAAGGCGAGTAAGGTAATAAAACATTTTGCTATTATTTATAGAATTATTTGGTAAAATTGAAACTTTTGCTTTTAAAATGCCCAGTGAATAGATAGCAAAATGTTTAAGCCAAGAAACTCAGCAGCAAAAATCTGCTTACAGCTGCATTGCTAAATTATACAATTGTATGTGACGTAACATGCTGTCAAAAAAGAGACCTAAATATACTTAAAGAAGTCTCTTGAGAAATCCCCCGATAAAAAAACGTTCTTCATGAAAGTCGATTGGGATAACAAACCTTGACTCTTAAGCTCTGCATCGCATTGGTACTTTAATCAATGGTATCTGCAGCTTTTTGTAATGAATTCACTAGTTTATGGCACATTCACTATATTACAGGAAGAGAAGTTTACTGATTTAAGTGCACTAAAGTAAAAGGATGCCGTACATTTGGATTGCAGCCTCGTAAACCTTTAGTTGCTGAGAAGTTAAAATTTAAAATTTGAGTCTTCCGTTTCAATTTTTCATGGAAAACACTAGGCCATCTGTGTAAATAAACAACACCGTCACAATTAAAACAAGGTCTGTATGACAAAGCGACATCTATGCGAAGCTCAGCGCTTTAAAAGGAGAGGTGAATTGCATTCAGCCAAATATTAGTTTTATCTTGAACCATGTTTTTTGCAACAGCAACCTTGTATTGCTATCTACTTGCATTTGCAGCGGCCCAATCCATCGCAAACCAGAACAATAGAAATAAGGTAATTCGTCGGAAGATGCTTTTTAGAATCAAAATGTAATAAGCTGGTATTTATTCCTTTCACCTCTTCATAGCTGATACTGATGCCATTATAAAAAGCCTTAAGCTGATACACACCATTACAAAGCTATTTCCGTCTAAAATGCGTTATTTTTTAACACTGTGTACAAAGCTGTGATTTTGAGTCCGTTATTTTATTAAAAGCGGTTGTCGAGTAGCCGTTTTGAAAATAATACTTTTTCATAAAAGTACACCTTCCCTTAAAGTTATAGACCAGAATGATTCACTGTTCTCAATTCAGGAATCCGCCAAAGGTGAGAATCCAGTAAACCAAAGTCGAGGCCAACAAGTGGGAGCTAGACGTAGTCAACAGTTTCCAGGTAATACTAAAAAATAGTTTTCTTGTATGAAAGCCAAAGGCTATGTTTGCGACTAACTAAAAATACTATCTAGAGGGCAATTTCCACAGCAATTCTGGTAACGGTCAACAAATAAATCCAGGACACTATCCAAACAACAGGAACGATTGGAACTACCCCAACAATGGGAATTCGGGACCAAATCTAGGAGGAAACCAAGGCTACCACTCTGGAAATAGAAATCCGGAACGCTACCCATGGGGATATCAAGGATTCTATCCTAATGGTAGAGATCAAGGACAGTATCCAAATTGGAATCAAGGGTATTATCCTGGCAACAGAAACCCGGGACAATATCCGGGAGGAAATCGAGGATATTATCCTGGCAGTGAAACTCAATGGTATTATCCAGGAGGAAACCAAGGCTATTTTCCTGGAAATAGAAATCCGGGACGCTACCCAGAGAGAGATCAAGGATCCTATCCTGATAGAAGAGACCCGAGTCAGTACCCAAACTGGAATCAAGGATATTATCCTGGCAACAGAAATCCGGGACGCTACCCAGGGAGAGATCAAGGATCTTATCCTGATGGAAGAGACCCAAGTCAGTACCCATACTGGAATCAAGGATATTATCCTGACAACAGAAACTCGGGACAATATCCGGGAGGAAATCGCGACTACTACTCTAACAACGGAAATTCAGGACGATATCCTGTTACTAGAATACCTTAATGTTTTCAAAAAAACTAAATTTAAGATGACAGCATCTTTTCTAAATCTTTACACAAACTACAAATTGTCATAAAGTTTATTATACAACTCTCTTTTTATCCTGCAAACTGTGTGCAAAAGTTTATAAACTGCAGAATGTTCAAATCAGAAGTTAACGGTAGAAGCAGAAGAAGCTTTTTTTGCATTGCAAGTAAACGTGCAAATTGAACAATGCTAATACTACTTAATTGAAAGTATAAAAGAGAAATAAAGATAAGATAATAAACTAAGCAAGTTAAAAAAGGTGTAAGAAGTGAAACTAATAGAAAGTCCCTGTTTACAAGACTTCCTCTCTCAAAGATATCTTCATAATGGGACATGTACATTTTTCCTAAGAACACCTACTTTTGCACAGTTTCTCTGTCAATTCCGCTTCGATTTGTCTTGTAATGTTTGCTAATTATTGCCATTTTAACTTCTAAAACTTCACAATCCTCACTG